GGGTTTAGGGGTTTAGGGTATCCCCTACCAGTTTCCTGTGTCCTAACCATAGCCCTCAGATGGCTGTCCGGAGTTTTATAGGGTATATAATGGGTATGTAAGGGGTATTTAAGGACCTCAGTATTAAAGGCCCATACTAGTGTTGATACTAAAAACCCTGCATGNNCATGACCTTAATATACTGTAGCACCATACACCCCAAGGCATAAGATACTTAGGGTCATGCTGGATTCTTAGTATCCACCGGCGCTAGGTGTTTCGGAGCTTATGGCACTTTCACACGGATTTTCGTGCAAAACAGTAGGGGGTCTCAATCGGATTGATGCTCAATGGCCATGGTGTTTGCCCAACAAAATGAAATAGATACATCTCTGAATAAGAGAGATCTTTGGAATCGCAGGAATTCAGCTGTCTCCCGGTCCCACGCCGGAATAAAGTAGCTTCAAGTTTAGGCCCTCAGGTGGGTCCCTGAAGGCACTGCTGATGCAGGACACCTGGCGCTGCTCAGGATATGAGAAACGGATATGAAGAACATGACGAGTTCCGAGCGATTTCCTCTCCCGCCATGTTGCCAAGCAAGAAGCTGCGTCGAGAAAGGTATTTTGCTAGATTTCTCGGATGTGGGTGAATATTAAAAATTCAGGGACTCCTCTCGTTGGGTATGGCAAACGACATGGGAGGGTTCCCGGAAGGCCCTAACGGATAAGGGGAGCGTGATAACCATTGGGGTGTACTTCCTGATACGAGCTACAGTCTAAACTCCTAGTATCCCCCTTAATAAGCCCTATAGTAGTCCCCTACATAATCGCCGATACAACCCCCTTGAAGGAGTTGAGACTGTAGCTCAGAACTTTGGAGAGTGGATATTCTGGTCAAAGTCGTCTATGAACCCAACCCTTTCTCTTGGCGGACGAAAGCACTGGCCACAAGACTCACCCCTAACACACCAAGCCCTTCTCAGTCCTAACCCGTGTACCTCAACCCTAAACCCTACACCCTTGTAACTTGCAACTCTCTGAGTCCCTTAGCCTAGGGCACTTGGAGATCTGGGAAATCCTCCCGTGCCTTGCCAATAAACCCGGCCAGCCCCGAGCTAATGTAGGGTTTAGGGTTTAAGGGTTGTTCCCCAGGTAATACAGAGGGGGTAGCAGCCATGATTAGTGGGATGGAGGGGGTGTGTTGTCAGGTGTAAAGTTCTCAGGAAAGGCCCAACCCGGGGGTCTGGCAGGTTCCGAATCAGTCTAAGCTTTTTCGCCGGCCTGCGTTGGCTTTGCTACAGGTCATGCAGTTGAAAAGCATGTTATACATGAGCAGTTGTCAAGGCGTTGTGCCCATTCTGGACGCACTCTTCATCATTTTAACTGGAAGGATGTTTCAACAGCTTTCACTGAAGTGTAAAAAGTCTAGCGTAATTTGCCGAAGGCTGTAAGTTGGTTATGCCCCCTGTGCTTTCCCGCGGTCCTGCCAACTGCCCACATAGGGAACCGTCCTTTGCGCTGGCTGGCTTCAAACTCCAACCGGCCAGCGCCGACATATCTGTGTCTCGAAATAGGCGCCTCCATGCTGCCCCACTAGATCCTAGCACAGCCTGGGAAAGCTATAAGTTTGCCCTGCTATACACCAGATCTCACTTAAATCAGGAGGTTCCCAAATTTAGAAACACACCACATTTGAACAGACTGCATCCCAGCGTTGCTACACTGGGCTGTCTTAGCCCGCAGAGAACACCGCGGAGTGCACACATGCCTGGGCCATCTATAGGGGTTCATGTAAGCGGTGCTTGAGAGGAGCTGACCCTATTCCTTTGCCGGTGCCTCTTTTGCAGCTGCAACTAGCATGTTTACTATTACTCTTTTATTAGTATTACTATGAATTATTAACAATATTATTATTATCATTACTCTTATTACTCTTATGGCTATGATTTCTAGGGAGTATGAATACTATTTCGAACATTACTCCTAAAATTAATACGTGTGCTATTATTAGACATTATTACTATCACTGAACTTCAATTACGTCCGCAGGTGCTTCAAGTACGTGAATCACCTGCTGACGCCTCTTTAGGGATTGCTGAGAATCGGGGCTTCCCCATGCTACTTCGCAGCAGCGCACTCTAAAAGTACCCAGCTAAAAACTGTGTGGACCCAAAACCCTCGAGGCCTGGTGGACCCTAAAAGGCAACCTCTCACCAAAAGGACTCTCAAAAGATGAGAGGCTGTTGCCCGGAACAGTAAAGAAAACAAAAACAAATTCGTGGCAGATTCCCCAATCCCGGCACCCTCAACGAGGATCCTAGACCCCAAAACCGAGCTGCGAGACGTAAAGCAAGACACCTCAAATGAAAACCCTGAACTTAACCCAAAAATCGAAACCCTGAAATCAAAGCAAGCTGCTTGGTGACCTTTTAGTACTTGAACGCATCTGCCGTTGGTGACATTCCAGACCCTGGCGGCGCAGTCTTGCGATGACGTAAGCACCTGGGCAGGGACTTATAGGGCCCGAACCCAGTCCCCTCCCCCAAGTATTAACCTTCCCCGGGCCCCCTAAGATTAAATTCGCAATATGTAGTATACCGCAAGGTCTACAATGGAGGCCCTGGGAGAAGAGCACAGTACGCCAGGAAAGAAACACACGCAGTGCATCCCACTCTAGGATTTAGGGTTTGGCGTTCTTCTTAGGGAGCCTAGGAATATCTTAGCCAAGTCCTGAACTGTAGGAGAGCTTCCGGATGCTAAGCGCACTGGCTCAACTCGATATCTCTCTGACAGGTCACGCTCCCTCTACGTACACTACAAATGGTAGCAATCCTCTTGTAGACATGAAAAGCCCCACCGCGCCTGCGCACAGTCCTCTGAAAATGCCACGCTTGTGATGAGACCCTCGTGGCCGGAGAGTGTCTGGATGCACTCTCCTCTGTGCTTAGGGCTAAGGGTCTGCGTGAATAAGGGTTCAGGGCTTCGGGGCACACATACTGACCAATAATGGAGAATCAAATGGAAAATGAAATGGAAACCCGAGGTCCCCTTAAAGGGGCATGTAGGGATATTACCCCTTAAAGGGGAAGGTAGGGATATTTCCCCAATAATGGAGAATCAACTGGAAACTGAGATCCAGGTTGGGTTGCTATGGGGGCTTGCAGCGTTGATCTAAGGTATAAAGGTTCCTTTAAAAAATCATGTAATGTACGTACAGGGATGATGGAAAAGAAAATGGAATTATAGGCGTTATATAGGGGCTATATGGGGATTAAAGGGTATATTGGGGTTGTATGTACACCCCAGAACCATGCTAACTCGGGCTTCCCCAGGTTGAATGAATTAGGATATGACCCCTGCTTCGTTTTTCGGGTCTCCGCAATGGACACCTAATATGTACACGCAACCATACTCCGAAGAAATTCTATATGCATTTCACCAAAAAGCCAAAGCTATAGGCTACGTGACTTGTTGGTATTGATACTGGCAGTTACTGGCACTTGCTGGTATTCTCGGTCTAGTGGTTCGGGAAGCACGTTCCTGGGGAGAGAGAGAAAAGTGTTGCTCCTGTAACCATCACTTACAGGAAGTGAAGTGTTTCTTAATTTCCATCCCCTGAGAGGGAAGCAGCAAGAGTACCCCTATATCATACCCTGCTATAATGTAGTAGTTTCCATTTTCTTTTCCATTATCCTTGTGTGGCCCCTATATACCCCTCATAGAACCCTTAAACCCTAAGATCGTTATCAGCAACCTTGAGTCCTCGCATGACGCTCCAAATCTTCGCCACACCGTCGAAGGAACCTGCTGGGTTTGAAAGATAAAGACACAAAAAGGTGAAAGCTTGGTTGTGCGTTCCATGTTTGACCCCTTGTTGGGAAATCTCACCGGTCACCACAAGAGCAGCGTCGGCGGAGAAGGAAGCACACCTGATGAGGTTCTTATGGCCACGCAGAATGTGAATTCGCTCACCGCGATGTAGACTCCACAGCCTTGCTGCACAGTCCAGGAAAGCCGCAAGAACAAAAGCTCCATCCGGAGAGTATGCAGCACAGTTAACCAAATGACCTTCATCCACCAGTGTCTGGGCACACTCTCCCTCCGCTGAACACCAGGAGCGCACCAGTCCATCGCGGGCGACGGTGACAACAAAGGCTGCATCCGGGGAGAAGACTGCGAACTCCAGTGGCATGCCCTTACTGGAGAGGATTCGGAGGCACTCCCCGTCCACCGCACTCCAGATCCGAGCATCTCCGTCGAAGGAGCCCGTAACTACCAAGGATCCGTCCCAGGAGAACAGCGCTGAATTGACAACCGCTGAATGGCCTGCCAGACACTTGATGCAGTCACCATGGGCTACATCCCACAGCTTGGCAGTGTGATCGTCGGAGGCCGTAACAAGCATCCTACTGTCAGGCGAGAACACAATTGAGTTCAGGTCACTGGTGTGGCCCCTCAAGATCTGGTGGCACTCTCCATTGGACAGCTTCCATATGCGGGCTGTCGAATCGAAGGAAGCTGTTACAACCCAGGTCCCATCTGGTGAGAATCCCACTTTGTGGACATCACTCGCATGGCCCATAAGCGTCTGCACACATTCGCCGTTCAGCCAGTTCCACACCTTGGCCGTGTAGTCCGAGGAGGACGTCACCACCAAAGACACATTCCTGAGCTAGGTAACCTGTTCTAAACACCAGCATGTTCTATGAAAACGCCTAAAAGGGGTTATAGGATGGTACCCGGTTATCACTGGAGTCTTCCCTGCCTCGTTTCTAGTTCGCCGCAGAAACCAACTACACTGGAGGCAACGAAAAACATGCCTACTGCTGGTTTGACGGGCCTTACATCTCCCAACACATTACTTTGTACCCTCATATGCCTCTATTGCTTTGGGTGACCCTAAAGCAACCCAGGTTCTGAACTATAAGAGTCAGCTCAATCTCATTACCATCCTCCAGGTCGGAGAGGTAGACCCCGGAGTCCAGGACCTCGTTACGGTAGAGGAGGGCCTGTCAGGGCAATACTTGGAGGGTTCGGTGGACAGTTCCAAGCAAATGTGCATCTGGTTGGTTGTGGGTGTAGCCCTACTTACAGCCCCATGTATAGCTACCCAGAAAACCTGTGAGTAGTGGGGAGTGGTGCAGGTATCAGAATTTGGGCACAAAGGAATCCAACAGAACCTGCAAGGGGCCCTCGATGAAAGTTGGTTGCGTTAGTAGGGGCAATGCTGCGGGTAACTTGCCTCAAAGCCCTTCACATTAGGATGGCTGCTGGGGCATCTGAATTTGAATCGGATCATGGTAGAGGCCCGAGGGATCCATCTGTTTTGGTCTTGCTTGTATTCCATTCCGGAAACTACCATCTGGGCATCTCGCAGGTAAGAGGTTCCCAAACTTTACCTTTCAGAAATGGTTTGAACACACGCACTTCAAACACCCTGAGCCCGGCTTTTCAGAACACAGCATTTCTTGAGTCATCCCTTGCACGATTCGAGTTGAGCCTGCGGAAGAGAAAAGACACGAACCTCAAGAAATTCCTTAAGATGGGGAGTTGCACAGGGACCCTCAGATTATATCGGCGCGCACATATTCTGATCAAATCAGCTGATGCTTGGTGGGCTTCTGGCTCGAAGCAATGTTCAGGGAAAGCATGCTTCAACCTCGACTCTAAACCCTCAGACCGGCTAATCCTAACAAGCCCTATCCATCTACCTGCTACATTACGAAACTCGAGTGTCTTCTATGCTACTACTGGCACTCAAAAAAACATCATAGGATATTTCCCGGTCATAACTTTGTTTTTTCAAGTCTACCTAGTCGGGTCTGCACACCCCAAGGGGCCTGCCGGTAAATCTGGAGCCCCAACCTACGCTGCAGATCGCGATAAATCGCTTGCACAGTCAGAGACGGGTCCGCCCTGAATCTTGCAATTCTCTCCTTGGCTGTCGCTTACTGGGGCTAGTAGGGACCTAAGTAAGTACATTCGGAAATAGCAGTGTAACCCAGATTCGTTATTGTACTATCACGAAACATTAAGGGATGTTGCCGGGTGGTAACTTAGGGTTTTGCCTACCTGGGCATGCACGCCAGGCATCTATATGATTTGTAGGGGCTACTCTTGGGAATTCTGCCCGGACTGCTGTAGGGATCCATTCCTCCGTTCAATACTAACCTCCGGTGAGCTTGCGACTGTAAAGATCCCGATGGCTCCTAGTAACAGGCTGTCAGGATATTGAATGGTGCCCACAACGACTGCAAGGGCCTTCCCAAGGACTCTTAAACCCATATGTTCCGGTCTGGGCTCTTAGAAAGATGCTTGCATCAGCTAAGACACCTCGTACCTACTGAGCTACCGCATGACAACAAAAACGAATTCCATCACAACACTAATTGCCAAAATGGTTGGAACAATACTAATAAGATTCTGCCTGATACGAACAAAATCGCACTATGAATGGCCAAGGCTCTCCACTAAGCGAGATAATTTGGATCTGGGCATAGTTCATGAAGCTGGGGCAACCTCCTATACCCTAAAGCTTGAGGCTTGAGCCTGGCGAGCGGCGACACGCTCAGATGCCTACCAAACTTTGTGGCCAGTTCATGAGCTTAGGCCAAAACACAGCAAATGTCCTCCCGCAGGAATCTCGGGCTACATCACCCCTCACGTCCAGTCATCTCATACGCAGAGTTCCCCAGGATGACGATGCTTGTCTTGTAGCTGCTGTCATGTATACGCGCAGATACACGAATTCTCTTCAGGACTGACAACTTTAGGCCTGACAAGTCTGGAACAGGTACGGAGAAGCGGACAGACCGTCTGCGAATCGCCTCAAAACTAGTTGTACGAAGGTGTCTTAACATTTGGGGTCCCTGTGGCGAGATTTTTGGTCCGCATCTACAATGAGGACCCCAGCTTCGTTTGAGACATTGGGGTGTTGATTCCCAAAGAAGCTTCCGAAAACCCAAGGATCTTAAACCTCATCGCCAAATCAGCATAGGCGTGATCTCCCGAAAAAAAGTTGAAAAAGGGGACACTTCAAGCAACGTGTGGGTCAGGGATGCTGGCTCGCTTCTAGAGGTTAGGGGTCCAGTATCGTCTCTTCTGCCGAAGCCCCCCCACACCGGTGCACTCTTACAGTCTCGAAGCACTGCATGAGTTCATTGAATTCGGCCGTCAAGAAAAGTGTTCAGAACAAGATCGCTCAGCAAAGTACGTGTTCTCAAGTTCTTCATAGGTCATGCAAGTGTGAGGATGGGTGACTGTGATGATGATCATCATCATGATCATGATGAAGATGATGAAGATTGTGAGGTCACAGTGACGGTGACCGTGATGGTGATAGCGATGGTGAAGGATGACAATAAGCATTGCGATGATGATGCTTGTGATCACGCTGGAAGATAAGGAAACTCAGCCGTGACGGAGGAGGAGGAGGAGGAGGAGGAGGAGGAGCAGCCGCTTAGATTCTGCGGCAGCATGCGCCTGCTCTGTCACCAGCTCCTCTTCATTCTTACCTGCGCGTCTCCTCAGGACTCACAGCAATAACGGAGGTTGGGTTACCCAAGCCTGCAAAATCAGGACTCTATAGGATCATATGATATACGGTCCTAATTCTGGAGTGTTGCAATAGCCAAGGTGTCTGAGAGTTCACCCCTATGAGGGTTTGATCCTGTAGCCTCTGGAAACTCAAATGGAAGAAGCAATTCGAAAATGGAATGGAAACTGTGATTATACGGGGGTGTATTTATGGGGCTCAGGGGTTAGGGATCCTTTACACTTTTGGAAACGGCTTTGTTCCATATTTTTACGCTGGCCTCCGGGCCATGCCACTTGCGGGAAAATCTGCTTGTGTCCGAAAAAGTTCCCTGAACCCTAAACCCTGAACTCTAAACCCTAAACCCCAAATAGTAGTTTCCATTTCATTTTCCATTATCCCAATATAACCCCAATATTACCCTCTATAATCCGTATATAAAACGGGTTATTGGCATGAACTCATGTTCATGCAGAAACATGTCTCCGGTCCTAGGCACAATAGCCTTAGGGCTTAGGTTGGGCCCTGTCTATTATAGGAGTTAAGGGTTTAAGGATTTAAGGGTTTAGGGTTTAGGGTCGTAGCTGAGGTCCTGCCCCCACCCGTTAACAGTCTACAATAGGGGCCATACTAAGAGCTCTATATATTTATCTTACAGATATTATCCAACTTTTAATGAGTTTGAGCATTACCCAGGACTTTGGGTCCACTGTAGAACGTGACCGCTCAAGGCCGTGTCGTCGCAGAGGGCAATACTAGAAGCAGAAAACCTCCTGTGCCATAGCTGAACAGGAAGAGTTAAGGGAAATGCTAATTCCTAGGTACTCCTGATAATATATTTTTAATCGAATGTGAGGACGTCAGTATTTAAGTGCCCTACAGATCGAAGATCCAAAATACTACGAAACTCTCGGGTTTAGGATCTCAGCTGAGGGGGTCCCTATCCTCACTGGTGCTTACAGAGAGTGGGGGAGTGGATCCCTATCATAATCCCCATATAACCCCATATACCCCTCTTAATGGTACCTATAGTATACTATCTACTAATATATTATACTATATGATAACTATTTTTTTTCACCTCCCCACCTTCCTGAAGCACCAGTAGTCATCCTGCCAAGGACTCGGAAAGACTTCCTGAAAGCACACTGAGCCATTCAAAATTGTTCGCCCTATCAGAAGCCTTACCTAGACCTCTAGCACCCTGTGAAATGCCCAATATGCTCGTCTTTCTGCTTCATTCTGAGCCAGGGGCATTTCATTAAGGTACTTTGGAGACCGCACGTCTGATTGCCATGGTCTTGATGACAACGTGTGCGAGATGGGAAATGAGGCTTAACTGGAGCAAGACTTGCAGCTTGTGAACTGTCCACCACACCTGTTTGGTAACATAGCTTCCGCTCGCAGAACTTTGACCGTACAGCAACAAGCCCCAGCACTAAATCTGACTTCGCTGTTGGCGGAACCTCAAGCGAGCAAAGATGCAAGCGGGATCTTGACAGGTGTAAGCGCCAAAGGAAGTCCCTCGATACACCAAAGAGTCTTCAATGTCAATGTCGGCGCTCGGACGAATCCAAGATGTAACAAATAGCAACATGTCCCACGATGACGAACTGCACAGTTCCTCTGCACTCCTAGGTATACGAGAACCACTGCGAAATCACAAACAGCACCTATATAACCTGCAACCCTGAAGCCCTAGCCTTTTTGGGCCGAAAGTTCCAAAGCAGCAAACAGCTGAACGTGTGATCACCGCCAGCGCTCCTCACCCGTTCCTTAGTGTGAAGAGGGATCACGAAAACCCTTGAATGGTAGCGGGTCCAAAGGTCTCTCTCATAAAGCCATCTCAAGCTCGTTCAAAAAGCCTGAGTTCTTCACAACTGTAAAAACCTTTGGGAAGTTGAATTTGGGGACAGGCGAGTTGACATGGAAGCGTGCGGGGTAGATATCCGGCCCACGGATCGCTGCAATATAGTACTCTTCTGGAAAACCCGTAAAATAATGGCTGTACCGTGGATGGAGGAAATCCTGCACCCACCCTAAATCGCTGAAGCACTAGGAGTTACAATAGATATGTGATCCTAAGTGGTGCCAGATTTCCTCCATTAACAGCATGCCCACCGCAATTACTAAAACCCTATACCCTAAACCTTAAACCCTACTCAAACCCTAAACCTGCACCCTCAAACCTACACCTTAAACCCCAAACCCTAAACCTGCACCCTCAACCCTAAACCGGACCTTAAAATCCTAAACCCCAAACCCTAAACCCTAAACCTTAAACCCAAAACCCTAAACCCTAAACCTTAAACCCTAAACCCTAAACCCAAACCCTAAACATCACCTGTCAACTCTGAGCCATGGGTTGAGGGTTCAGGGTTCAAGGAGTTTCCAAACATTTCATATTCCAGTTTAGGGTTTAGGGTTCATAATCCCGAATCAGAGAAACCCGAAAGGGGATCCCCCAACTCTTGAAACCTCCAAGCCCCAAAACCTTCCCAGTTTCCATGTCATGTTCTATCTTCTTTTCCATTTGATTCTCCATAATCGTGGGGTAATGTCCCTACATCTCCTTATGAAAAACTCACACAGCCCAATAAAAGCCATAAAATGAAACCTTGCATTAACTTTTTTTCACGCCAAAAAAACCATTTACCCTAAAACTTCTGAGGCTATGGCCAGGTGAAGCCCCCGCAGCAGGGTTCCAGCTGCCTTTGGTGATTCCGGTCTACGGTTTGGAGTTTTGGGTTTGGGCTTTGAGCTTAGGGCTAGCGTTTTGAGTTTCGGGTTTAGGGCTCGGGTTTGGGGGGGTTCAGGTGTGGGGTATAGACGGTGAGGACACTCCAGGTGGATAGTTGGCTCTAAGGTGGGTGAGATCTGGAGTTGAGGGTTTAGGAAAGGCGCGTCTTCCATGCCACCTCTGAATGTGCACAAATTTCCCTGCTTCGGGATGAGGATTCAGGCCTGAAAAGCCCAGTGATCAGGTGTTAGAAGGAGTTCACAGGGGTGAGATAAGGCCTCTAATAATGACCAACATCATTTTGAAGTCTCTTGGAGGTACCCTATACTACATTTCTACAAGGAATCTGGGACCACAATATTGGAAATTTGCTAGTCTTCTGCAGTAAAGTCTTCAGCTTCAGCGTTGCTTGGCGGTTGGTCCAAGGGTATTTGAGGGCTACATGCCGTTGATTTTCCATGACTTCTTAGACTGCAATTTCATGAAGTAATTGCTCGTAAACCTCTCATAATACCAAGTTATTGCCATCCTGGGATGCGCCGTCTGACTTGCAAGGTGGAAGGGAATGATGACGATCATAACAAACTCTCAGGAACGGTGAGGTCGATACCACTCAGGCTAATCACCTTGCCACACATATCAAACACCTCCCCCTGTCCACA